AATTTGAATCTCTGAATGAGAACAAGGGTTACAGAGGCCCAAATCCTAAAATTAAGCTCAAAAGATCTTCTCTAGAATCCAAACTGAAAATGATTTGCTCACTCAATTTAATTAATCTTTATTTCTAAAGACATTTTTTACAATGTAGATTGTGTCAAAGCAGCTTAACATAAATCACGTCGAGCTTTGTCATGCTGCACACCGTATGTGGACATACAGAGGAACGAGATGTCGTGTCTCGCAGGACAGCAGTGCTACATAAGTGAATCATAAATACAAACACAACACTGGACATAAGAGCTATTTTAAAACCCCCATGCATAATTAACATTTAATATTAGATACATCAACTTATACACATAAGACAGGCCATACAAGTACTTTTACATGAATTTGAACGCAGTATATTGTGTAGTATACTGTGCATAAGGTGAATATTGTGCAAAAGAGGTAATTTAGGTTTTACATTTTGCAAAAGAGTTATTTAAGGTTGAAGCAAGCAGTGCAACATGATTGTGGTACATTTATAGTAAACTTCGTTTTCCTTATTGAGTTCTTGTAAGATGGTGTAAATAAAGTGTCAGGTGCATAAGAGAGAAGAGTGTCTCTACAGTGTTTCTGTGGTTTGTCAAGCCCGCTCACCTGTATAAAGCATAATTTGAATTGAGATTAGATTTTTATCCCATGAACAATTAGGAAAATTGTGCAGGTAAACTCAAGGAGATTATAACACACCAAGAAATTTGTGCAGGTAAACTCAGGGAGGTCATGACAATAAGTTTGGTTTTATTATGGTAAAGCATTAAATAGATTTATACACATCAGGCTTTAGTAAAAATTCAGATGATTGGAAGACGTGTCCATGCACACGTCATGAGGAAGTTTGTGAAAATCGTTCAGAAGACACACACACACACACACACAAATATTATTAAGAGTTTAGATGTAAATACATTTAAATGCTGTCTGAAATTGTCTCCTAAAATCAGTATTTTTCTCAGCCTCCTGTGTTTATGTTCAGTTATTTCACTTTAAAATAGCAGATATGCCTTGTTACTGCGAGCTGAATGAATGTAGAAAAGTAGGCATTTCATTTAGAAAGATCTGTAAAAGGGTTTGGGGAGAGTTATTACAACCTTACAGACACCTCCTCCTCACCATTTCTGTTTGTTGTCAAAACTGACAGTTGGAGCAGTGCAGTTTAATATGTTAGCCAATTCCTTAGATATGCGTAATCTTAACTGAAAAAAAAAAAAAAAACGGAAGTGCATTTTCAGATTTTAATTAATAATTCGAAAGTTTTTTTTTTTCAATGACATGCACAGATGAATTGTTTACCACAAAACTAGCAATGTGAGCTATGAAAATCATATGGTTAGTTTAGATTTTTTGGGGTCTTTAAAGGCTGAACTTTTTTAAGTAGGAATCGAAATTGTCTTAAGCCAATGATCCAGTGAAGGGGAAAAGTCAGCCCTTTCAGTTTAGAATGCATTAGCATAAACATGAATGCAACTTCAGACAGCTGGGCGTGTAAAACATCCAAAACCATAAACCAAAATTGGTATATGTGTGCCAAATATTACAACCTTTTCCCATATATTGCTTGAGGCTACCACAGAATTCAAAACCTGAAAAAAACAGCGATTAATGACTAACACTGAATGGCCCATAACAGAATAAATTATTAGTCAGTTAAAGCTCATTTATTAGTCCAAAAACTGTCATCTGGCACATGGCCACATATGACACCAGTCATCACCCAATTGAGACTCTAGATCTATATCTAACTAAAAACGTCATAAATCAAAATAGATCCTACACAGAGGTGACCAGCTAGTGCCTTTGACTTTATGCATATGAGTGTATCTTATTATTACACTGCTGCCCTCTCACTTTCATTGCAAGACACCATATTAAACAACAACTCCTCTGGGAACTCCTAGACACTTAAATCCACATTCATAATTTAAAGAAGTGCATTCAACGTGCTGTCTGTGGCCCCTGTCCCAAAGGGCCACAGCCGTAGACTGGGCGACCTTTGATTCCTCGCACTCTTGCAAATGTGCCAGTCTATTGTCCACAACTAAGACCCATTTTTACATATTGATTACATTGATCCCTTCACTAAGCACTTACAAAGAGCATCTGAAGGATCAATACCATGCCTTCTGCTGTAGTCTTGCCAAATCAAACTTCACCCCAAAACAGCATCTTGTTAGGGTGCAATGAAATTAATACTTGCGATGAGATGTAGTTTGACAAAGCCATGCTAATGCTTGGAAAACGCCTGAAGATTAGCATTTAAAAGGTTATGCTAAAATTTCCTGCTAACAACACAACTCTTCCAACCTTGGTGTTTTGGACAAAGGGGTGCATCCGCAGAGTTGGGATAGAGTTTCATGGCCAGATTGATTATCTGAAAGTCTGCCTTCTTTGTTCTAGTCCCCGCGGTGCTGAATTTGCGCTTCACATAAAAGTACACAGATGCAGAAACTTGGGTGCAGGAGCAATCGCTGTGTAGTGCTTTTTATGACATTTTGAGTTTACTGTTAGATATTTTTATCATTTTTAGATCCAGTTTATGACGACTTTAAAATAAGAGTTTAAAACAATTGTTTGGGGGAAAGTGAAAAGTCAAGAAAGAGCTGAATTTAAGTTACAATGTGCCAAAAGCATAAAAAAACAACAACTTGAATCTGCATAAAATGACAGTTTTTATCAAGTTCTGTCTTGATTTTAAAAATAAATGCACTTAAGGGGGATGACTGCATTTATTTAGATAAAGCCAGATAATAAATAAAAGGCAGGTGGATCAGTATCGTTGATCAACTTTCAACTTAGGACTAGAGCTTCACAATATTGGAAAAAACATCAACATTGTAATATTTTGCTATTCTGCTATATTTATTACGATATGATTACAATTTTACCAAATTAGTTCAATGCCTCTATTTGTAAAGAATTTATCATTTTAGATTGATGTAAAAAAAAAAAAGGTAAAATAATTTTGCAAAGTCTTAATCGTAAATAAAGTTACAAACAGAAAAATTTCTTAGGCCTGATTGCTTTTAACAGTAACAGGCCTCAAAAAAAAAAAAAAAAAAACACATGCAAATGATCAATATAACTCAGACTCATGTCCTATGATGTGACTATTACAAATAATCACATTGTGATATCGATGTTAAGAAGACAATATATTGTGGAACCCTAGTGGACGTCTTTGGAGGGACTTTTTTTTTTTTTTTTTTTTTTTGCCAAAGACTAGGAGACACCAATTAAATTTTATTTTTGCAAAAGTTATGAAACATTAGACATGATTTATTGTTTTCATGTATAAAAAATCCTTTTGTAACTTTTATTTGACACAAATTTGACAACACAAAACAAAATTATGAATGTAATTTCTTTGTAATTGTATAATTTACAATAAATTGACCGAAAATATTATCTACAATATAAATATTTTTTAATAAATATAACTTTTATATTAAGGTTGTTCTTTATAAATATTCTCTAACTATTTAAATTGTTTTTTTAGACAATGTGCAGTTTTCTAGATACTTATTGACCTTATTCTTCATGTACAAGCGGGTGCTGACATTGTATCTTTTTGACTCGAGACCTCCAGTCCCTTTTCACTTCCATTGATTTTTAGACATTAAAAATGGCTCATTACACTGCTTGATGTTGCAAACTGATATTTTCTTGTTATATTATTCTACTTTTCATGTATGGTCATGCAAACACTTGTTTTCAGAGCAAGCAGTTTCAACATTTTCTGCTGTTTATTTTTCATGGTAATTTCTCCCATAGGCAAACTGAATCGGAAATTCGAAAACAAAGCACACTTCTGCATTAAAGAATAAGGTCAAAAGACTATGCTAAGTTCTTAATTTGAACAACTTGTGATTTTCTCAATATTTAGGTTTTTTAATCATTAGATTCCAAATGTCAAGTAATTGTATTTTTGCCAAAAAAATATGTGTTCTAATAAACATTACACTAATGGAAATATTATTCATTAAATTTATATATATATATTTACTAACTCTACTAACTGTCAAACACCACTTGTATTTTACTATTCCAAGAAGCATCAACTGGCTAATTTAAACATATGTTAATCGGTTTTTGAGAGCTACTAAAATGTGCACTTGCCTTGGCGATTTAATGTCATTTTTACAAACACCTGCACAAAAAAGCACACCTTTTCATTACACCAACACTCTCATTCTTGAGAGCTAGTTATGGAGTCATTAATTTTATGGTGTAAATGTAGCACTCAGCCTAAATAAATGTTCGAGCTCACTGAACCTCACACAAAACAAGCACACTTCAGTGGACAAAGACACAGACGGAGGGAGGGAGAATCCAGCTCTTCTTTCTTTTCCTGGAGGGGTGTTTGTTCAGAGTGGGTGCAGGGTTAAAAAAAAGAGGATGGAGGATGGCAAACAGAGCCAACTGGGAGAAGTGTGTGTGTGTGTGTGTGTGTGTGTGTGTGTGTGTGTGTGTGTGTGTGTGTTTTGTATTATTTACTTTGTGGACCAAATGTGCCCATAAGATCAAAATTCTGTAAATTTTATGAACAGTTTTTCATGGAAACCAAATACATAAATAAATTAATTCATAAATTCATTCATTAATTCATAAATAAGTTCAAAATTTACTGGTATTGCTATACTTGTAGGGACCCAATGTTTGTTATATTACTTGTAGTGTCTGGTATTGCTGGTAAATGAAAAAAATTACTGGTATTGGTATACTTGTGGGGACCAAAGGTTTGGTATATTACTTGTAATGTCTGGTATTCCTGGTAGTTCAAAAATTTACTGGTATGTCTATATACTTGTGGGGAACAAATGTCTAGTACATTACCTGTAATGTCTGGTATTCATGGTAAATCAAAAATGTCAAAAAAACAAAAATGTCCCCACAAGTAAAGCAATAACAGTAAATGTTGACCTTGTGAGGACATTTATGTATGTATTTGGTCCCCATCATGAAAATAGCTCATAAATTACACCAAATAAAGTATTTTAAAAATGGGTTCAGGGGTATAGTGATGGTAGAGGAATATAATATAGATTGTACAGCTTAAAAATCAATACATCAATGAAAAGTCCCCATAAAGATAGCAGCACAAGTGTGATTGAGGACGGATGTGTGTATGTGCCTGTATAAAAAATATGGTAAAAGATAGCTAACACAAATATGAATCAGTCTTAAAAAGCTACTCAATGTTGTGCTTTTTTCTGTCTATTCTGATTCTGGTGGTGTTTAGCCGATTGGTTTGTTGGGGGTTAGAGAAAGAGCGGGAGAGAAAGTGAGTGACAGAGCGGGGGTTGGAGCTCATTGTGAGCAGCAGTGAGTTAATCTCTTTAGCGGCACACGTCTTATGTAAAGAGGTGTAATGGTCTCTGCCTCTTCTTGCCCCCAAGGGTCTTTGGGGGGACACCAGGGTTCAGTATCCCAGCAACATTTACATGACGGTTATTCCAAAAAAAAAAAAGATATGGAGGGGGAAAAAAACTCTGAATGGTAATAAGATCCGCCCCCTTTGCATGGTAGACTCTTGTCTACATCGCAGTCTACAGAGTATTCAGTGGTTCAGTCAAGGACAAACACATTCTGACTCCTCGCAAAGAGGAAATACCAAGGAGATTTGATTCCAATTTGACAAATGCTGCTCATGTGGATTTATTTGTTCCAAGAGTAAGTGTCACTTTGGTTATTCTGGGTTGCTTTTCAACTTAAATATAAAAGATGTGATTTTGGGGCGCTAGATAAATATTAATAGAGAGTCAAACTGAGATTGTTTACCTGCAGCACATGGTAAGAAGTAATTAATGCGCCTGTCAAAGCATTTGATTTTCATGAATTGTTTTAATAAACAAATAATCCTATAAAACCACAACAGTATTAGCTAATGTTCATTTTAACTATTTAATTAAAAAAAGTGCAAACTCATCATAAAAACGTTCTCCATCTGTGGATTGTCAACAACAATGTGCTAGCTTCAGTGATTTATAGGAGTTGAATTAAATGGGTTTAATTTATGACAGTGTCGTGATAGAACATGTTAAATGATAATGATGTCAAGCAGCGTGATTTACTTGCAGCGCTATTGAAGTGTATAAGCATTACATCATTGGTTGGCATGCGTTGAGCACAAAATATGTGAGACTCTTATAAACAAAGATGCTGATGGGGTCGCTTTTCATTGGGCTGCCTGAAGCCATTAAGTCTTTCTGCTGAAAGAGATATGTTTACGAGAATACAAAAGTAGTTTTAATAACCTTATTTTCATCCCTGCGTGTGAAAAATATAGCCACATGAATGATAATTGAGATGTTTGGAGTATCATCTTTCTGGCAGTGCTAACAGAACACAGATATTTAAATGACAACTTATGGAGCTATTAGAAGATGGCAGAGCATTTGTGGTCTTCTTAAAAAATAATAAAAGCAGCTGTGGGGTGGTAAAGTTAAAACAATAGCAAATAAAAAGACACACTTTCTTTGGATTGCATAAATTCATAATGTAATATCAACAATTAAGAAACAGCTGGTATATTTGGTTATTATGTTCATTCTAGCTAATAAGCCTTTAGAATATTAGCCATAACAATTAGGCTAGTTATACAAAGCCACTATGTGTGACAATTGTGGCAGGTCTTTTGTTCATAAAGCCCCCTTCTAGCTGCTCTAAAGACAGATGGAAGGCATGATGTGTTGATTATAGATGTGTAATATATGCTTTAGGCACATGTAAATCATAAAAGGTTGATTAGCTGGTGACAGAGTGGTGGTACAGTTGAACTGCCGTCAGGTCAGAGTGGCAGGAACCATCTCCCTACTGAAACTCCATGACAAGAATATTAGGGCCAGTTTATTACAATTCTGGGTTATTTCAATACAAATTTAGGCAAAATAGACACAATTTAAATTAAAGCTTAAACTATTGCCAGAATTTGGATTGAACCCCAGCATTTTAACACTACAAAATGTCTTTTGAATGAATTTTTGTCTTATTTCTAGTCCCAATATTTATACAATCTTAAATCAAGCAGCAGTTTCTATTAAAATAAGCAACATAATCTAGAAATATGATTATTTTACATATCTCATTGGCTGATTATTTTGCTTTTATTAAGGAAAACTCAAATAATTTAAACATTTTTAAAAGCAAGAAAATTTTATAGTCAAGAAAAACCTGTAGTGCTTTATAATAGACTTCAATTATTTTAAATTAATTGGTTTGATTCTTAATGCTTGTTTGATATTATGAATGATTGAGATAAAGTAAAAACATAAATTATGTTAGCATGCACAATTATGACTCTAATGACATTGTAAGTATAGGTTTTCAATCACATGGTTTTTCAGATGGAGGGCAGGAAGTAAAAAACCGAAAGGGGGACATATAGGAAATTCCTTACTTTTAACATTTATACCATATTTTAAAGGAGATGTAAATAAAAAATAACCACATATGTTGGGCATGATCCTCCTGAAGAGGGCTGTGTTTTCTACTGAACTAAAGTTCCCCTTCGGTTGGGGAACTTCAGTGCCATGAATGGGAGGATTCGGATCAGAAGCCGCTTATCTGGAGAGTATTGAACGGGCCAATGAATGAAATTAATTGGCAGCGTAAGCTTGCGCAGGTGTGCGACATCTGCAATTATCTCAGCATATAAGCACACCTGAAGCCAGCAGACGCCATCCTTTTCGCTTCAGATCCTTTCTGAGTGAGTCGATGAGGGTTCCTCTTGCTGATCAGCACTTCAGAGCGAACGAGTGTGTCTCCCGGTCCAGAGTGGGTCTTCGCGGTGGCAGACGGTCGAGCTGGGTTACTCCCTTGCCTGCGGTTCTTTGGGTCCGGTCCTCCAGAGCGGTGCGTATAGTTGCAACTTTCCTAAAAGAGCAACACAGTCGTGCAGCACGTCCTTTTCAGGATGGCGCTCCGACTGTGCGTTTCTGGATGCGGGGGTTTCCTGTCTCCGGATGATGGACACGATCACTGCATTGCATGTTTGGGGGTCCAGCATGTTAATGCGGTGCTCGCGGGCGGTTCATGTCGTCATTGCGATGCCATGACCGTTGCACAGCTAAGATCGCAGCTAACTTTCGCAAGAGAGCGAGCCACCCCAGTTGCCTCCTGCTCTAAAAAAGCAGCGGGCGCTCGGGCAGATCTGAGGGTTTCAGCGGGAGCTAATCCGCCGCCCACGGGCTCGCGGACCTCTCGCTCCTCACGGCGCTCCATCCAAGCTTCGGGTGGTGAGAGTGATCCGTCTAACCAGATGGTAGCTCTCACACTCGCTGACACCGGAGATCAGATGTCCTCCGCGGCATCGGAGGGTGGGCTTTCACTGTCCGACGAAGATCCGGACCCGCTCGCCCCCTCCGGGCAGGTGAGCGCTGTCAAATCGGATCCTGAAGCGGACATGTTAGCCGTGCTTTCCCGGGCTGCTTCGGCCGTGGGGTTGGAGATGGTTTATCCCCCAGCTCCGCGGCCGGACCGACTAGATGGGTGCTACGTAGAGGACCAGAAGGCGAAGCCTTCGAAGCCTCTCGTCCCCTTCTTCCCGGAAGTGCACAGTAGGCTCACGCAGTCCTGGAGGGCACCTTTCTCTGCCCGTGCTGCGAGTGCCTCCGCCCTCACCGCCCTTGACGGCGGAGCTGCCAGGGGGTATGAGGCGATCCCGTCAGTGGAGCGCGCTATCGCGGTCAATCTTTGTCCGCGCGGCGCCTCTACGTGGCGGGGTTTGCCCCGCCTCCCGTCCAAAGCCTGTAGGTTGTCTGCCTCCCTCGGAGCCAGAGCTTATAAGGCTGCGGGCCAGGCTGCTTCTGCTTTGCACGCGATGGCCACCTACCAGCGCTACCAAGCGCAGGCGCTGGCCGAGCTGCACGAGGGCGGGTCCAACCCAAGCTTATTACATGAGCTGCGCACCGCGACCGACTATGCTCTTCGGACTACTAAGTCCGCCGCGTGTGCGCTGGGGAGGACGATGTCCACACTTGTGGTTCAGGAACGCCACCTCTGGCTAAACCTGGCCGATATGCGCGACGTTGACAAAGTTCGCTTTCTTGACTCGCCCATATCCCAGGCTGGCCTGTTCGGCGACACCGTCGGTGAATTCACCCAGGAATTCAAGGCGGTGAAAGAGCAGTCGGATGCGATGGGCAATGTCATCTATCGGCGTGGCCGTAAGCCCGCTCCGCCCGCCGAGCCATCCACCTCCGCTGTTCCTCGCCGAGGGCGCCCGCCAACGAGTGCTGCCCCGCCCCCGCCTGCGCCTCCGGCCAAGCGGGCGCGGCGTTCACCTCGAAAGCAGGCAGCCCCTCCTGCCCAGGGCGCCGTTAAGTCCGGTAAACGGACCGCGAAGCGTCCCTGAGACAGGCCATCCGGAGAAGAGGAAACTTGCTCTTTCCCCGCTGGAGGGCGGGGCCCCGATAACAACGGTACTTTTCAGTGCCACCAAAACATCAGTAAAAGAGCACTTTTTCCCTTCCCCGGATGTGACTGCACGAGTTCTGCCAGTCCGGGACGCGCTGCCTTCCGGCTCGCAGACTCTACGTGCTTCGCCAGTGGCTCACGAGCGCTGGGGGGACGGTCTCCCTTTCCTCAGCCCTCCAGCCCCCTCTCCGGAGTCAGGGTGCGGAGCCAGAGCGAATCGCTCTCCTCCAGCTCTTCCGCGGGACCCTCGTGCTTCCCGGATCAGCACACCCACTCCGCGCTGCCCCACCGCTGGTACGTCAGCGATTGTAGCGATGACTCCATTAGCGAGGGCTCTGCCTGCCTGGTTAGCGCGGGCCAGCCCCTCGCGGTGGCTCATACGCACAATCAGACTCGGTTACGCGATTCAGTTCGCGAAACGGCCCCCCAAGTTTACGGGCGTGTATTTCTCCAGGGTCAACCCCCTGTCCGCCCCTGTCTTGCGAGAGGAGATTGCTGCCCTCCTGGCGAAGGGTGCAATCGAGCCGGTTCCTCCAGCCGAGATGGAGAGTGGGTTTTACAGCCCATACTTCATCGTACCCAAAAAGAGCGGTGGGTCACGGCCAATCCTAGATCTGCGCGTTTTGAACCGCTGTCTGCACAAGCTGCCGTTCAGAATGCTCACGCAGAGGCGCATTCTCCAATGCGTTCGTCCTCGTGATTGGTTTGCAGCCATACACCTGAAGGACGCGTATTTCCATGTCACCATTCTTCCACGCCACCGCCAATTTCTGCGGTTTGCGTTCGAGGGTCGAGCGTGGCAGTACAAGGTCCTCCCCTTCGGGCTCTCTCTGTCTCCGCGGGTCTTCACCAAACTCGCGGAGGGTGCCCTGGCGCCCCTTCGGCTCGCGGGCATTCGCATGCTCAATTGTCTCGACGACTGGCTGATTTTAGCCCACTCGCGGGAGCAATTGATTATGCACAGGGACAAGGTGCTTCGGCATCTCCGCCTACTGGGGCTTCAGGTCAACCGAGAAAAGAGCAAACTCGCCCCCATGCAGAGGATTTCTTTTCTCGGGATGGAGCTGGACTCGATCACCATGGTAGCGCACCTCTCCGAGGAACGCGCTCGCCTGTTGCTGAACTGTCTGAGGGAGCTCGACAGCAAACTAGTGGTCCCACTGAAGTTCTTTCAGAGGCTCCTGGGGCATATGGCATCCGCAGCCGCCGTCACGCCGCTCGGGTTGCTCCATATGAGACCACTTCAGCACTGGCTTCACGATCGGGTCCCCAGACGCGCATGGCACGCGGGCACACACCGGGTCTCGGTTACTGCGCTGTGTCGCCGCGCCCTCAGCCCTTGGAACGACCCCTCGTTCCTACAGGCCGGCGTGCCTCTAGGACAGGCGTCCAGCCATGTTGTTGTTTCAACAGACGCTTCCAACACGGGTTGGGGGGCCGTGTGTCGCGGGCATGCGGCTGCGAGCCTCTGGAAGGGTGCCCAGCTGCATTGGCATATCAATCGCCTAGAGCTGTTGGCAGTGTTCCTCGCTCTCCACCGCTTTTTACCGGTGCTGGAGCGGCAACACGTGCTGGTCAGGACGGACAGTATGGCGGCGGCGGCGTATATCAACCGCATGGGGGGTATGCGCTCTCGCCGCATGTCTCAGCTCGCCCGCCGTCTGCTCCTCTGGAGTCACCCGCGGCTGAAATCGCTGCGCGCCATTCACGTCCCAGGCACGCTCAATCGTGCAGCCGATGCGCTCTCACGACAGCTGTTACGCCCTGGAGAATGGAGACTCCACCCCGAGTCTGTTCAGCTGATATGGGCGCGATTCGGGGAGGCCCAGATCGATCTGTTTGCTTCCCCCGAGAACGCTCACTGCCAGTTGTTTTTTTCCCTGACCGAGGGCTCTCTCGGCACGGATGCACTGGCCCACAGCTGGCCTCGTGGCATGCGCAAGTATGCGTTTCCCCCAGTGAGCCTGCTCGCGCAGTTTCTGTGCAAGGTCAGGGAGGACGAGGAACAGGTTCTGCTAGTTGCGCCCCTTTGGCCCAACCGGACCTGGATATCAGAGCTCTCACTCCTCGCGACGGCCCTCCCCTGGCGGATCCCTTTGAGAGAGGACCTACTCTCTCAGGGACAGGGCACCATCTGGCACCCTCGCCCCGATCTTTGGAACCTCCACGTGTGGTCCCTAGACGCGAGGAAGACTTAGGTAACCTACCGACTGCGGTGGTTAATACCATCACTCAGGCTAGAGCCCCCTCCACGAGGCGCGCCTACGCCCTGAAGTGGAGTCTATTCACTGAATGGTGCGTCTCTCGCAGAGAAGACCCCCGAAATTGCCAGATTAGTGTTGTGCTCTCTTTCCTTCAAGAGAAGTTGGAGTCGCCCTCCACTCTCAAGGTTTACGTGGCCGCCATCTCCGCTTATCATAGCGCGGTAGCTGGCGGCACCGTGGGAAAGCATAACCTGGTCATCCAGTTCCTTAGGGGTGCTAGGCGAATTAATCCATCTCGCCCCCCTCTCATGCCCTCTTGGGATCTCGCCCTCGTTCTCACGAGTCTGCGATCCGATCCCTTTGAGCCACTCGAATCAGTATCTCTAAGATTTCTGTCCCTGAAGACAGCTCTGCTGGTTGCGTTGGCCTCCATCAAGAGGGTCGGGGACCTGGAGGCATTTTCGGTCAGTGACTCGTGCCTGGAATTCGGGCCGGATTACTCTCACGTCATCCTGAGACCCCGCCCCGGTTATGTGCCCAAGGTTCCTACCACCCCCTTTAGAGATCAGGTAGTGAACCTGCAAGCGCTGCCCCCGGAGGAGGCAGACCCAGCCCTTTCTTTAATTTGTCCAGTTCGCGCTCTGCGCATTTATGTGGACCGTACTCAGAATTTTAGATCATCTGAGCAGCTCTTTGTCTGTTATGGCGGTCGGCAGCAGGGAAGTGCCGTATCAAAACAAAGATTATCCCACTGGATTGTGGATGCCATTTCACTCGCTTATTCGAGTCGAGGTCAGCCGTGTCCCCCGGGAGTTCGTGCACACTCCACTCGGAGCGTTGCATCCTCTTGGGCGCGTGCACGCGGCGCCTCTCTAACAGACATCTGTAGAGCTGCGGGCTGGGCGACACCCAACACATTTGCAAGGTTTTACAATCTGCGAGTGGAGCCGGTTTCCTCAAGGGTATTAGGTAACCCTTTGGTGATTGAGGAGACAACTCGGTAGGGTGTTGAAACACGCTTGCGGCGCCATTCTCCCTAACACGGAGGTACGTGCGCCTTTTTTATCTGTCAGTAAAGTTCCCCGTCAGGTGAGCCCTGCAGATTCCTCCGTGGCCCCCAGCACTGACTCAGCGGAGGAGTCACTTGCTGGCCCACTACGTTGTAGGTCTGCCCGCTGGTCAGCCCGCGTTTTGGGTATAGGTGCCTGCTATGCGTGATCCCCACTAGGCGATCCCATATGCTTATTCCGCCACGGTTAAGTCCCCCCCCTGGGCGGACCCGTGTCTTCCCTCTCCGCTAACCACTCTTTTGCTATGCGTACTCCCCCTTTTTAGGGCTAGTCCATAGGTAAATTCTGCCATCTATCCCCCCCTTGGGTAACGGATGGCCTCCGCAGCGTCCTCCCTATCGGGATTGCACGCTTCCCAACGTACTGTCGTATTTCCTAGAATTATCTAGATGCTCACGACTTCCCAAAAAATATATCTAAATCCGTAAAACTTCTGTTGAAGTAGGATAAATTAGGGCCAGGGACACGTTGGAGGACCGCGCCCCCTATGATGTGGGTGCGTCACGCTTGCTTGACTATCTCCTCATCGGGGGTGTTGGTAAGGTGCAGTCATTATGGCGCTTTCCATATTCTCCCATTCATGGCACTGAAGTTCCCCAACCGAAGGGGAACGTTCGAGGTTACAGAAGTAACCCTTCGTTCCCCGAGGAGGGGAACGGAAGTGCCATATTCCGTCGCCATAATGACTGTCCCTTAGCTGTTTGAAAGTCTCTTCAGCTTAAAAGGATGGCGTCTGCTGGCTTCAGGTGTGCTTATATGCTGAGATAATTGCAGATGTCGCACACCTGCGCAAGCTTACGCTGCCAATTAATTTCATTCATTGGCCCGTTCAATACTCTCCAGATAAGCGGCTTCTGATCCGAATCCCCCCATTCATGGCACTTCCGTTCCCCTCCTCGGGGAACGAAGGGTTACTTCTGTAACCTCGAACGTTTATTTGTGTCAGAAGCGGTAGATATTACGTTTGATAAAAAAACTACTAAATTAAATACTATGGTGTTTGGAGGCATATAGATAATTGCTTAAATTAAACTGTCGTAGTAATTATATCGTGTCTGTGGTACAGCACAACTGTGGTAATAAACAAATTATTCAGTAGGCTTCAGTTTTCTAGGCTATAATTATACACAATCACGATGCACCACAGTTTACACTAGCGTTACAGTATTTCTTACAGTTTATCAGTATGCTACAGTTTTCGGTAGCATTCATTAAAGAGTTGTACACATTATATATTTTACTGTGTGGTTCAAAAACATGTTTCTCAAATTACTATGGTATTTTTACCCATGTAAATATCATACATTTATTTTTTGTAAGGGGGAAGAAGTGCTCCACAATAATAATCATCTAGTTTTGTCACAAGGGTTGCATTTCAATTTTATTCCGTCAATGAACTTACCATCAGCAAATTTTCACCGCTGCTGCGCATAAAGACATTGACATTATGGTTGTTTATTCTGCTGAAAAGCCAGTAAAGACATGTATTATTGCAAAACGAGACAGAGATTTTGTTGCAGTGATTACTTGGCAGCAGGCTGTGTTATTTATGTTATCCTGGATTTTGTGGTGTTTGTTTCAGATTTTTATATAACACATTAACATATTTATACATATAGCTAGGCCTGTATATATTCTTTATTGCTGCTGTCAAACAAATTATCACCTTCCAATAAAACACATGGATGTATTGAAAAAAAAATTTTTACATGCCGCCCTTTTCCTGTATTTCAGGCATTTCTTGAACTTTCCCCCTTTATGAGAAAAAAGCTTTTGGAAGTCTATAAAAGCTGTTCGGCATTTTTTATTTTGGCCGATTTAAACAATTATAAGCAACATAAAACAGAAACATTTTGATGTTCTGATAGCAATCCCTATGTGGAAGAATCACTTCCTGCCCTCCATCTGACTTTGTGAAAACAACCTATACACTACATAAAATGCACAGTAAAATATTAATAAAAAAAAGAATAAGATTTAAATGAACAAGCAACCACACAACACCAAGGCTAACAGTTTTTTTCATTAACATGTTGGAGAAAGCCAAGCTGAAAATCACATCTAGGTCATTTTCAAACAAAAATATCCAACTTAAGTTGACAAGATTTAAATATGTACACATTAAAAAAAGAGAGACAGACATTTTAGTCTAATCAAAATAAAACTCAGAATACATGCAAGCATAACATTTGTTCATAGTCTGACAAGCAGAATAATTGGCAGGTCTTTTGACCTACTGACCAAGAACCATGAATAGACTTGTGACCTATTAACACTAGATTCAAACTAATTCTCAAATGAATTTGCCTTTGTTTGTCACAGAGGGGGCTGTTCTTGTTATTTGCTCAATGCATGCATTTGGTCTCAATTTTGGGAATCAGGATTTGCAGGATAACTGCCGTTTTAGCTCTACCCCCACTGAATCCACTGTTGGCAAACAGCCATCAAGATGTACTGTAGTTCCTGTTATTGCATTACCTGTTTGCTGAGCTGGTGGACGTTAGGTAAAGTAAACATTAAGGAAAATTCTGCACTGTGGACTATGGGGCTATATTGCTTTAACGACAACAGGACATCTCACTACATTTTATTTAAAATCCATGTTTTACCAGGTTTCCCAGTTGGGAATAAGAAGGATCTCCACACAAGGCTATGAATACATCAGACCTTCCTCCATCATTAAAATTCTGTAATTACACACCTGCCACTACCAAGACCACCACCTGCTTTCTCCAGATGTCCCAGGCAACATGGGTAGTGTGAGCAGTTTGATATCAGGCCATAGCCTCCACAGCAAACACTGCAAAGCTTCTGAAAACAAACTCAAAAAGGGGCTTCAGTCTAAGAAAACAGGCCATAGTTTGGATGGGCTTCTGAAGTATGGCTTCGCTCAGGACCATTGCAACACCAACAACAACTCAAAAGTCAGCTATGACTCAGGCAAAAACGATGACTTCTATTACATCAAGGTCAGCAACAAGCCCCGAGCTGTTCAACTAAACATAAATACAACTGAAGACAGTCGAGGAAGAGCAGCTGAGCAGCTTCCGCTGTCTGGAAAACTAGAAAAGGTAACAGTAAGCTAGCCAGAAAGTAAATCTTGGACTGCATGTTTTTAAATCACCAAAATAGCAAATCATCCTTTCTGTCTTTATTTGTTCTATTTTTATTCTATAAAAACTTGTTACAACAAGCATAAGAGTAAACAAAGCAGAACGTCTCCTTAGGAAGCATAATCAGCTCACAATAAAGCAGCCAAATTAACAAGATTGCCCATCCTGAGTCAGTTATCATACAAAAATCAAACAACAGTCAAGTATAGTTTATCTTAAGTAATCCCCACCAGCCTCTGACACTTTCACTAAGAGCTTAGCGGTGTCTGCTCTGTTTAATTAAACCTCCAGATTGACGAGGTAAGAATGCCTTGATCTCTCCAGAGATTCAATCCAATGGCGGTGTGGCACTTGCAAGCACCTCTTTCCCTGAATAGCCTCATTTATGAAGGGTCTAGCTTGGAAAATGAACGCATTAGGTGGGAATTTAATGCTAAACCAGCAGGGTAAACATACTACCAAAACGAAAATTACATATAAATATATATATATGTGTGAGGGAAATAAGGGTTAACGGGATTCTTTCTTGAGTAACAGGGAGACCATTTGTTTAATATGTTTAAACATGGATGGTGCCATTATAACTTGATCTTCATCAATAATCAATTGCATGTAGTGCACTTAAAATGGCAAAAAGTACTCATTTGTCTTTTCTTTTTTGTCTTCTCTTGATTAGAGTATAGAGACTGCTTTGATCAGACCCACTGCCTTCAAACCTGTTCTTCCACGAAGCAGCAGCTCCTCTGTGGAAACTCATAACAACTTGAGCACAATCCTGGGAAGGAGAATTAGTCCCATAGATAGACTCAAAGATCTTCAGGACCCTAAGCTGGAGACAAATTCAGGAACATTCTCTGACTCTGGAAGGAACTCTATGTCCAGCCTGCCCACCCACAGTACCAGTGGCAGCAGCCAGATGGACAACCTAGGCACTTCAACTAACCACATGGCACGCCATGGAGGCCTTGCTCAAAACACAGACACATCTCAAAACCCACAGGGGGGAATAGCAGGGATGAATGGCAATTCTGGATTCAGTTGGATGAGTAGTGGGACAAATGGAAACATGTGGTCCAATGGATTTAGCGAAACAAACAGAAATTGTGAGTCCACAAATGGCAACACAAGATCCATCGGCGTCCTCAGTGAAAGTGTGGCAGCTGCGATAAGTTTAAACAGAGAAATAACTGCTGCAGCACTGACAGTTTTATCTACAGAGCCAAAGACCGATTTCACTGGAAATCAAGAGCAGCTTCTGGAACACAGGTTTACCTTTTCAGAACAAAGCTCAAAAAAACCCTCACCTTCTGAGGGCTGTGTTCGATCACCAATTTCAATGGATGAATCGCTCATACAGCAACTCGAGCAGAAACTTCTGGAACGTGAATCTGAGTTGGCAGAGTTACAGACAAGTCTTGAGGAAAAAGAGACAGACACATGCCAGCTATTTGAGGAGAAGCAACGCTACTGTGCAGAGGAGATGGAGGGGCTAAAACAACGCTGTTCTACAAAACTTCGTCAAGTGAGTTTCTAAAAATTTAGACTTTAAATCAGTGTGAAAATTAAATCTTAGAATAAAAATACAGAATTCACCTTTGTTACGCTTATTTGTGTAACCTGCAGGTGTCCCAAAGGGCTGTGAAAGCCCAACAGTTATTGCAGCTTCAGGTGATACAACTTCAGCAGGACAAGGATCGTCTGCAGGAGGAGGTGGACCAGCTTAATCGTGACAGGGACACTGCAGAAAGCAGAATCCGAATCTATGAAAGCCAGAAAAATCTTGTACCCACATTAGAGGAGACGCAGTGGGAGGTCAGTCGCTAAAAACTTGCTGTGGTATGATGACAAATGTGAATGCACTGGAAATCAAATGTGTCATGTTTGATAAACTCACTTTAAAACAGTTGAGCTTTTAGGGAAAAAAAAACAACTCGATTTAGATGGTCTGCTTTATGCTGGGTTGACATTCAGTTTAGTTTACTTGCAGGATGTTCTTCACTTAACGCTAATTTTCAGCTTAAGTTGAATTATTTGAACTTGAATTCCGCATTTTCACTGCAAATGCTTCTCGGGTTAGTTACTAATTAAGGATGCACCGATCCCGATACTTGTATCAGATATCGGTTCGATACCGCATATTTTTGCTGGATCGGGTATCGGCCTGCTGGTACCTATCCAAATTCAATCTTGCGTGTGCACAATATTCTGTGTTTCCTCTATAAGCCAACTAAGCCATGAACTTAGCTTATTATAATGCACTAGAACATTGTCACGTAGGCTTGATATATGCCAAATGTTTTGAAGCCATTTTATAGTTTAATGTGAAGTACAGATGGATATTCAAGTTAACTTAAATTCATGTTCACCTCAGCGCTTCCTGTCTCTGTGCCTGTCAATCATTCTCCGTTTATTCACAATTCAAACTGTTTGTTGCATTTACGACAACACAAAAAACTCTCCAAGGCTATATATTCCTATAGATTAAATGATCAGTGGACAAATGCATTTAGTTTAGTATTAAAATTTCATTTTGATGTACAACATGAAGTTCATTGCTGTTTTTAAATGTTTTAGATCAGCAGATCACATTCACAACTCTGCAGTAGAGAGGGTTATTACCTGCTCTTCACACACAAAGTAGGCCTACCTGAAATGTTTAATTAAAAAAGCTTCAATAATATATTGGACAGATCCTTAACCCACTGATTTCTTCCATTTGAGCTGCTGTTTTGGAAATATCTGCAGATACCGGAGGGCTGCACGCTCTGATGCATCAAGGGCTTACATTCACGTGCTGGCTGCATGCGCCGAAAAATTATTCTCACAATGAGTTTGTTCTTCTTCAGACTGAGTTTATTTTTCTGATGGGGAAACTTTTAAGTGCTGCTAATGGTTTGTAAAGGGTTTGCCTGGCCCATTGTGGTCAAAGTAGTTGATTATATTAATAAAAGTGAAACTAACGGGTGCAATATTATTGTACTTAGGCTAATATAGGCTACTCTGAAACTGAATATTTCAATGTAATTTTATTCATAATAGTTCAAACCAGTTTGTGTTTTGGCGCTGAAGTATAAGTAGACCTTGTTTTGAACTTTCTCCGTCTCACTTATGGCAAGATTTGGTGAGGGATTATTAAGTAAAACTGACGGTTTTGTTTAGTCTGCATCAAAGCAGCAGGAAAATATCAGGCTTTGCTAAAAGGCTGATTATTTTACCAATGATGTCAATAGTGGTAGCCTATTGCAGATTTCAAAGAAAATCTTAATATTAAAAAAGGAAACATATGCTGGATCACAACAGATCAATGTCACAACAAATGCTCAAATAACGTGGCCTACAGCAAACATGTTTTTAGTTAGATTGTGCCATCAGTCATGTGTAGGGCTGGCCTCTTATTTTTTTACTAAAGCAGATATAATATTTGAGTTTAGCACTAGAGCTATAGAAACTGTATTATGCTTGGGAATAGGGATGCTCATTTCGGTTAACTTGGTCGACTGACAACCGCCGCTCGTTTACCGAATGTTAACTGTTAACCGTTAACAGATTCATTTAAAAATATTTTTTATTTTTATTTTTTTTAAATAATTGACGTCTATTTTATGTGGCAGATTAAATAGACTATTGCGTTTTAAAATACTGATTTATTTTAACATGCGAACAGCATACAGAACAGCATCTTCATGTACCTGCAGTGTTTTCAACAGCATAGAAAAACAGAATAAACAACAAAAAAAATCCTGCTCTAGATATTTTTCACTTAAAATGATACATTTAGATTACAAAGCGAAAACATTGGAATACTTTTTAAGAACAGACATAGGCTGTTTGTCCAATCATGTATTTTTCTTCCGTCAAATAAAAATAATAGGCTATAATAGGCTAAATAGATTGCTCTACAGGAAATATGCATTTAATTAATGCTCTGCTGTTATTGTTATATCCCAAAACCCCTTTCAACATTTTTAATAGAAGTCATTAGTTTAAAGATTATGTCTTAATTATGATTATGATTCATTTCCTCTTTCTCACTCACACTTCATGTGTGCATGGGCTGCTATAATTAAAGACAAGTGAAAATGAACCTCAATGCACACATATGTTGACTTTTTGTAAAGTATAGGCTATTATATAGCATATAATAATTTTTTTTGTTTACATATGATATTGCATTAATTTGCCTACATGTTTTATAAGCTGTAAAATGAAAGAATCAGTTTGGTACCAAGTTATAATCATGCAAACATTAAGAAAAACTTTGGATTTGTTTGACTGGTATTAGGCTATGTAGGCTATTTAAAATGTTATATTACATAAGAACTATTAAAAACTAATTTTCCAAATGGAAAAAGGTTGGTTTGTTGGTTGTAAAGTAAATCATCAATAGCCTATTTATTAAGTTTATGACACGGCTCCAGGCAGCACAGAGGCGATCAGCATCAGTGCTCTTTTGTCAACTCATCTGTGTAAAACTGTGACCCGAAATATGTTCTTTCATTTTGCTTCTTTGGCAAAATACATCTGTAGGCACGTGTTAAAATATGTGTTGCACATCAGGGGCCAATCACAGCAAACACGCCATTCCATTCCAAAAATTTGAGGCGCATTGCCTTTTATGTTGACAAGAAAAAAGAAGCGTGGTGCTCTTTTTTTACGTCACTAGAAAACAACTGAGTCAGCTGACCCATATTGTGCACGATTGTAGCTGTCAATGTTGTTATATTTGTTATTTTTAATAACATTATGATATTTAGGATTTGTGAAGTCATACAGCTCTTGATGACTTGAAACAGCAAACACTAGTTTCTCCTTCATCGTTAAAAATTAAAACACTGCTGTCACCTCAACAGAAACCCCGTGCACATAGCGCACACAGCAAAACACGAGGTGCACAGGGCACATAAGCAGCCCGTAAAACACTCGTGGCCATTTGCAAACCATTCAACAGAAGCCTCTCGCAACGCAAAAAGCCCGTTCGCTGTGATCAGTCTTTCATGCAGCCAAACTTTAAAAATATATTAAAAATTTTTTTTTTAATTGATATCATTAATTGGTTACACACTGTTTTGGTTTATGGTTAATCGGTTATTTTGCGCATCCCATATAAGGAAATAAATTTTAAAAAGCACAGTATAGGGATCGGATCTGTATTAATCAATACTCAGAATTTTGGTATCGAGATTGGACCGTTTTTTGTTTTTTTTTATAGTATCGGTGCAGCCTAGTCCCCATTAATGCTGTAAAAAAAAAAAAAAGAATCACTTACATTTATGCGTTTGAATTGACTTTGTATGTAATCTACATGGATACTTAATTTCCCTTTTGGCGTGAACCCTGTATTAGACTTTCTGTTGATTAAGCTTATTTGCAATTGTTGATTTATTATACAAACATTACCAGCCAACTAATAATCTAATTAGATTTAGTTGATATGGACTTGCAAAGTTACTGTCAACAGTATTTCTAAATGGACCAAAAATAAAGTTAAACAAAAACCAAACATTCATTATTTATGTTATATATATTCATTAATTATTTATTTTTCACCCAATGTTAATTTCTTAGGTGTGCCAGAAGTCAGGTGAGATTTCTCTGCTAAAGCAACAACTCAGGGACTCTCAGACTGATGCTGGGAATAAACTCAGTGAGATTGTCACTCTCAAAGCTTCTCTGAAGGAGTCCAGATGCAAAATGGAAGAACTGGAACAGAAAATCAAAGAGTGTGAGGAAACTCTTCATCAACGGAGTGCCGAGGTTGAGGTAAGTTGACTAACTTGCATTTTGATACTGCTTACTGTTCTGTTACTTTTAGCTGACTATGAAATACATTTCTATGAAGGTGTCTAAGAACGAGTTTCAAAGAAAGAAGAATGAGGCTGATCTCCTCAGGGAGAAGGTGAACAAGCTGGAAACAGACATCAAGGGCATGAAACAGGACCTTCACATGGCCAAAGAGGAGCAACAGCAGCTAATGGCCATGAGGGCCAAGGTTGAGGAGCAACAGCTGCAGCTGCAGATAAGCCAAGCACGGATGGAGGCCTTTGGGTCTGGTCATGCCAAATCGATTGCCCAGGAGGGAACAGGTGCCTGTAAAACACTGAACCATAATGGAGCAACCATAAACCTGGATAACTTGCAGAAGGAGGTTGAAAAGCTAAGAGGAGAACTGAAGGAAGAGAAGCAAAAGAAGCACAAGATGATGAATAGCTTTCAGCAGGAGAGACAAACATGGAATAAAGAAAAGGACAAAGTAATCAGATACCAAAAACAGTTGCAATACAATTACCTGCAGATGTACAGAAAGAACAGAGACCTGGAGAAGATTCTGAAGGAGTTGACTGCTGAGATGGACAAAAGGACAGAGTTGGATATGGACAGCCATAGTGCTGACCTGAACTTTGATAAAATTGTAGCTACAGAGATATGATGTCATAGAGGATGAGTGTTTTCACAAATTGTCTTCAAAGACTGAATACACAAAGCAAGATTTGAGAGGCCAAGAAGTCAGGAGATGCTTGAAACTAAAAATTATAATATTCTTTGTACAGACCATGAAAAGCTTTTCTTCTTTTAGATCTATCACGTCATTTGGATAGAGGTCTTCACAGGTCCAATTGTATCCGAAAACCCAAGGTCCCACCTGAGACCCACATTTGCTCAGGTCCAAAACTTTGTAGAGTGCCTTGGCCATGGGTTGTTTTCAGTATTTTCATTAAAAAATATAAATGGTTCTATACGGACCCAATAAAACCCAAAATGTTATTAGATGCAATGACATACCAGGGTGTAATTTGCACGTTCCTGTGGACGCATTTTTGAGAACAGTAAGAAACATTTGGGACGTCAAACACAAAAATCCATCTTAAGAAATGATATTGATCAAGAAATCACACTCGCTTCATTATGCAAGGTCATACAAGGTATTTATTTATTGGCAGAGTTGAGTTAAATAGTATTTACAGATGACACTGGCAAATCCTTGATTCAGCAGAGCTGTTGAAAAAATAACTGTCAACTGGTCAACAATTGCAAGTAGTTGAAGAAAAAATGTGTATCTTTGAGACTGGAAATAATAAGTAACCTTGGCTATAAGGCCGCAGACTGTACACATCTCAATGCTGTTTATGTTAAGGTCCAATTGGGTTCTAAAAAAATGGCATCAGATCTGTATGAACTTTGAGGGAAAAATTGCTTGTTCTTTTAAAAGATAATTTCACCCATTTGGTTTCAGGTAAGACATCATTCTGGTTGAATACTTATTTTAGAAGACCTCTACAGTGTGATATCAACCATTTGCATTTCTTTAGAAGTTCCTTGGTTAAGGTACATTAAACAATTGAATGATGTTCAGTAAATATTGTTTACTATTTAACAGATCTCACTGACTTGGTGCTTACTATAATATCACATCTATGACTGTTGTCACAAAAAATCGTTAATTCTGCATTGACCACAGTTTTCTGTCTGTCAGCCATTTTATGCATTTGCATAAGGACAGCCCATATATAGTTAACAAGTGTCTAAGAGAGTTACAGCAAATAATTCAAGTCAAGAACCATGTTCAGTTTTATAAGCAGTTGACAACTGTCAGTTTGTAATGCAAGGCAAACATGATGCTAGCGTTTAGCGCTTTGATCTCTGATTTCATTGGTCTCAACATTACAACTAGGGGCGTTAATATTTAAAAGAGGGCGTGTTCAATTTAATGATTAAATTTGTAAAAGTTGTTTACAGCACCTTTATTACTCAACCAAATGCTTTACCTCTACATAATCTCAAATATCCAGCTTTTCTTGCCTGAACAGTATGAATTGTATGGCCTCACTGCTGGGTTGGCGGAGTGATGTGAATGTTTTCTTTGCTGTAATTGCTAATTTTGCACTGTCTCTTTCTTATAAATGACAATAATCCTTATCACTGATGTCACAGCAGACAGGCTCATAGAAACACGTTTTGTATACAAGGATATGGTAGCTTGTAGAATAAAATGTTACAATTGTAAATGCACTGTTCACAAATTGTTTATTTAAAGTATTTCATACATCATTGGCAGCTTATAAACTGGGCACTGTACCATTGCTGTACTTTCAACTTTGAAACCTAGATATTGTACAATTTGGTTGGTAGTCTGGTAGATGGTATGATTGTGAATGAAAATGGCAATACTACTATCCACGGACACAATATTTTAAATAAAAAACAAATATGTTTCACATATTTAAAACAGCACATTTGTAATAGAGTAACAGCATTTTGAAAACTGTACAATTATCAACTAGGCACAAAAATAAAAACACTAAACTATATGAATGTCATATATCTTTTGCATTAAAATTAGATGTGAAACACATGCTTAATCATGCCTTTAGCTGAACATTTTCTTCTAATAAGCATAAATAAAATTTAAGACTACAACCGCATGATTTTAAAAGTAAAGAAACTAGGGTTTAAGTTACTGGACAACAGTGATCTGCTATATTTTACTTTTACAGTAAAAAGAACTCTTGAATTTTTTATTTCTTCAAAATGCTCCACAAAACAGTATAAAAATACACTGTACACATGTTTTTCAGTAGAAAAATATGATAACAGATTCCTCTGCCCTAATTTATAGCACTTAATCCCTAAAGACACATATGTAATACTATACAATACTATACTTAACGCTTCACAGGGCAGTTTTTCCCTAAAATTGCTTTTGGAAAGGCTGAGGTGAGACAGCAGTGAGACTGTTTCTGTTTATCATTGTTCTATCATGTGAAATTGTCCAAAATTCTGCCTTGTAAACTGTCTTCCTAAGAGCTTCCGGAAGTCTTAATTCCATGAGAAGAGTTTGATAATCATATTATTGATGGGCAGGGTGGCTGTGTGGCGTAAGGCTGTCTGTAGGTACATCTGAATGCTTGTATATTTGTTATTTATTGTCTTATTTTTTATTAAATAAATTAAGGTTTGTTTCTGAATAATGTATCAGTTGATTTTTCTGTGAGATCTAAAGAGTAATAAAAAATCTTGGTTGCTAAAAGACAATTTCGGCTGCCAGAGCAGATAATGATGACATCGGTCTGCAACACAGGTCAGACCAGACAAATTTAGTTCTTGGTTTTCATTTTCTGCATTTGATTCCATTTTTTAGCACTTTAATGCAACCTGAGAGAATAAAGGGAAGTGTAATTATTTTAAATCATCTTCAAACGCAGCAAAATATAGTAGAATCTTAACTAAGATTAGTGATTCATATTGCGTGTTGCATAAAATGCCAATCTCTAATCTCAATGTTTTCTATGGGGTTGATTCTTTTAGATACCTTATGTGAGAAATGAACAAAGGATTAAGCCAGGTACAGTAAAATTCTGGCTACTGCAATATACATAAACTTCAACAGGCTTGAAGCTGATAACAAAACAATAAAAGTGATACAGCTTTATTATTATTATTATTATTATTATTATTATTATTATTATTATTATTATTAATACTAACAACTGTATTGTTTTCCCAAGCAGATATTTTTCCCCTTAATTTATAGATGACACCCACTAAAATGTCATCAATGTCAAAAATCTTGTCAGGGAGATGCGCATGCGCAACTGACGGTGATGGCTGCTTAGTGAAACGCGCTCTGCTTCAGATGTCCTTTTCTTTTATACATATTCCTACTGAGCTTTAAACTGAGGTTTTAAGTATTCGCTTTTGTTAAGAGACGTCAGAGATGGCATCCAAACGAGAATTGCTACACTCGCCCTCCAAAAAACGACCTAAAGATGACGAACGCCTTCACGACGCCATTGCCGAGATGCTCGAATAACAACTGAGCGCTATAAAGCTAAGTATGTCTGCGATCGTTCGGGAGGAAATTTCAAAGATTTCTACACGTCTTAACCCCCTGGAAAATGATGTCAAAGCGGTCGGCGACAGACTGGATTATATGCAATCCACAGTGCGCGATATTAAAAAGGATTCGATTGCCAGCACGTCGCGTGTGGAGGAGCTACAGGAGAAGCTTTGGCTTTACGAAGACAAGGCCAGACAAAATAATCTAAGATTGGTGGGTTTACCTGAAGGCGCGGAAAGCAGCAATGCAATTCAGTTCCTGCAGACCCAGATTCCTAAGTGGCTGCCGGCCTTGCAAGGGAAGGTGATCGAGATTGAACGCGCACATCGCCTGTACGCGAACGAAGATTCCTCCAGAAAGAAAGCGCGCACTTTGATTTTCAAACTTTTCCGGTACAATGACAGGCAAGCGATTCTTAAGGAAGCCAGAAATTCTTCATCCCTAAATTACGAAGGAACCAAACTATGGTTCTTCCCCGATTACAGCAAGGGCATGTCTCAAAAAAGGAAAGTCATGTCAGAAAAAAGGAAACGTCTCCAACAGTTGGGCATTGAGTCTTTCTTGTTATACCCAGCAGTGGTGAAAGTGTTAAACGGCCGTGAGCAAATTCTCTTCAAAACACCCAAAGATCTGGAGAAGTTCGTCTCATCGCTAAATGCTGACACTCCGATGGGAGAAAACCTGACGGCGCGATCAACTGACTAAATTTTGCCTCATATAAAGGGTGCTTACTACATATTTCAAGTAGGAATTTAAGTTGTATTACTGATATGGACATTTGATTAGGCAAGACACGGCTCCCTGGGTATAGCCGCGCAGCTCGAGCGCATGGCCTCGAATTTGTTTATTTTCCAGGCAGGTAAGAGAGACTGTATTCTCTCTCTACAGGCTGCCATTTATATTTTGTTTATTCTGTTTTTATTTAATTTAATCATTTCGTTGTTGTTAACAGGGTTAGCTTTTTCTTATTATATATTCAATTTGATGGTTCTCTGGGGTGACATTCTTGATTACATGTGTGCTATTTATGGGTTTAAAATGATCACTTTATCTTTTAAGTGTTTAATCTATGCGTTCTGTTATGAATGATATCAACGTGATATCGTGGAATGTCAATGGCTTGAATTCACCGGTAAAGAGAACAAAATGCCTGGATTATTTACATCGCAAAAGAGCCGATATAGCTCTCATACAAGAATCCCACTTCAGGGCCTCAGATGTTACTCGTTGTCAAAATAGACATTTTAAAATTATAGCCGCTTCATCTTACACTAGCGCTTCAAGAGGAGTGCTAATACTTCAAAATAGAAGATTCCCATTTATATTAGAGAAATCAGGGAGTGATGATCATGGGGGGATCACATATGTTTTGGGATCGTGGAATAGTTTAAAAATAGCTTTTGTTTCAGTCTATGCCCCAAATAAATTTGACACAGTTTTTTTCCTTCGCTTACCAAGCTACTTCTTAGCTTTGGTGACTACAATCTGGTAGTGGGTATGGATGCTAATGCAGTTGTCAATCCCTCTATTGATAAGTCTCTCTCCGCACCGTCCGCTGTACACAGTGACCAGTCTTCCCGGGCATTGAATGAGCTTATTTTGGATAAGGACTTGTGTGATATCTGGAGGCTGCAGAATGAAAAATGTAGAGACTATACCTTTTATTCTTCCCGACACAAGACATTTACAAGAATAGATTATATTCTTATATCAAAATATTTAATTCAGAGTGTAAATAACATAGGTATTCTCCCCATGCTCATTTCAGACCATTCGGCAGTAATTTGTAATTTATCACCCCCTACAGGATTTCAAAGGACAAAAAGGTGGCGCTTTAACACAACTCTGCTACTGAAAGATGATTTTATTAAACAGTTACGAGATAATCTGACCATGTTTCTTTCAGAAAACTCCAGTTCAGCAGTTAATCCGCAGATTTTATGGGAAACAACCAAGTGTTTTCTGAGAGGGAACTGTATATCATTTGCCGCCTATGAACATAGATCTAAAACTAAAGAATTAAATCATTTAGAAAAACAAATTAAAATAATAGAGAGAGACTTAAAGGAAACTTTTTCAGAACAGAAGAGCAGGATTTTAGGAAATTTAAAATCTGATTGCAAGGCAATTTTATTAAGAAAGGCAGAATTTTTGATTCATCGCACCAAACAAAATTATTATTTTAATGCAGAACGACCCACTAAATTATTAGCTTTAAGGCTGAAACATAATGAGGCAATATCATCAATAACAGCTATTAAGGATAGTATGGGCACCCTGCATACTGCTCCGGACAAGGTGAATGCTACATTCAAGAACTTCTATGAGCATCTTTACAGTTCCGAGGTGGGGGTAGAGGATCAACAAACAATTGAATTTATATCAAAACTAAATCTCCCTTGCCTAAGTGATGAGCAACAGAAATTTTTAGACTCTCCAATTACATTAAGTGAAGTAAAAGAAGCTCTAGAGTCAATGAATAAAGGAAAGGCCCCGGGCCTAGATGGTCTACCCCCAGAGTTGTATTTGGTGATATGGGACTTGCTAGGACCACTCCTTCTAAATTCTTTAAATTTTGCAATAGATACAGGTTGTTTTCACAGAGATCAGAATACTGCCCTTATCTCACTGATTTTAAAAAAAGGGAAGGACCCCTTTAGCTGCTCTAGTTACAGGCCGATTTCACTAATCTGTACAGACACTAAGGTTTACGCAAAAGTTCTAGCCCGCCGTTTAGATCAAATTGCCGGTTCTATAATTTCCCATGACCAGACAGGCTTTCTTAAGGGTCGCTCTGCTATGGATAATGTCAGACGACTTTTAAATATCATGGACAAGTCCAAACTTACTGAGGATCAAAGTGCTATTCTCTCACTAGATGCAGAGAAAGCCTTTGACCGGGTCGAATGGACATATCTCTGGTCAGTTTTGAAGTGTCTGGGCTTTGGTCCAAATTTTATACATATGGTACAAACTCTGTATCGTAATTCAGCTGCAAGGGTGTCAACAGGGTTGAGCTGCTCAAGTGCTTTTCTGCTGGGCAGAGGCACAAGACAGGGCTGCCCATTGTCACCATTGTTGATTGCCCTTTCGTTAGAGCCTTTGGCCCAGGCAATTCGTCAGGATCATGTAATCGCCCCTATCATTATAGATAATTCTAAACATCACATCTCTCTGTTCGCTGATGATATTCTACTATATATGTCAGATACTTCTACCTCTATTATTCAATGTCTTAAAATATTTAATGATTTTAGAAAAGTGAGTGGGTATAAGATTAACTGGGAGAAATCTGTACTAATGCCACTGTCGGGGAGAAGTGATATCACGTCAGTGCCCGCTTCAATTCCAGTTAATAGCGCATTTACATATTTAGGAATTCAGATTCTTCCTTCACTTCAGGTGATGGTCAAACAAAACTATAGTTCCTTATTCAACAATATCAGACAGGACCTAGAGAGATGGGGCACACTATTACTCTCTCTGCAAGGTAGGATTGCGATTATCAAAATGAATGTTCTACCTAGACTTCTATTTTTTTTTACCATGATTCCTCTTTCTCCACATAAGACGTTTTTTAAAGAAATAAATTCCATTATAACTAAATTTATTTGGAACAACAAACGTCCTCGAATTAAACTTAAAACATTACAGAAAACACCTGCTAAAGGGGGGTTGGCAGTTCCTAACATTCAACTATATTTCTGGGCATGTCGACTGCGCAGTCTTAAGACTTGGTTGGAAGTAGATTCTGATATTGCTTGGCGTAACATTGAATCATCTGCTGTGCATCCACACCGACTACAAGATTTGTTATTTACGGGATTACCTAAGAAAGTAAAAAAATTGATAATAGAATAGTGGTTGACTCCCTTAAAATATGGTATGATGTTTGCAAATTTACTGGATGCACCAACAAATTTACAAAAGAATCTCCGATTTGGAACAATTATCATTTACAATCTGGGGGTAAGCCCTTTATATATAAGCTGTGGTCAGATCAAGGTATTTCTGTGTTGGGTGATATCTTCGACAACCAGGGCTTGAGGTCTTTCCAGGATTTGAAAGAAGGTTACAATCTCCCCGGACATTCCTACTTTCTGTATTTAAGGCTGAGAAGTGCAATGC